ACACTTTTATGAACTACCTAACGATCTCCCAGAGCACAAGTCGGGTGCTGCACAGCCTTCCGTCTTGCTTCATCATAAAACATTCGGTGACCTCGACGAAGATACTGTTCGCCTGTTAGCTGGATTCCTGGGCAGTCAAGACCTGTTTCCCCTTGCGATAACCTGCTCCAATCTTCGTGATTGGATTCTCCCTATTTATTTGCGCAGGGCAGGATATAGCGCATCTGAGGGCATTGTGTACCTTGGTGACACTAGCTTCCTCAAAACGGCAGCTCTGATTTCGGCTCTCACTCTGTGTCGGTCGGTTACGATGTTGTCTCAACTCGTCTTCCGTGTTCAACTCCTGGGCTATGGCAGATCATTAGAAGGGTTTGCTCTGTTTGAATGTTTGCACCGTTTACTTCGCTTATTGCACAAGGTTTCCAAAATTGACACCATTATCCTCGATTTTGGCGGTCCACCAAAACCTAGGCATGGTGTAATAGAACATGGTGCAAAGGCCCGATGGAGACAACTGACATTTTCTATCCTTTGTGTTATGGCGGAAAAGTCGGAGCACATATCGGTCGAAGGACTGGGACAGTTTGGCGACCTTACAAACACGCATAGGGCACAGTCATCACTGGAAGGAAACATCCCGCTCCCACTAATAACTCATTTATTGCGGTTTGTCCAAGTGAATATGTTGTGTTTGAAACTTCAGGTAGTTCAACGCTGGATCCAGTTAGCACTCCCTCAGGCTAGTACGACGATCAAACACCTTTCACTTCCATCATTAAACCCTGTGGTGGCCGTGTTTTTACCCATCGTTGTCGAAACCTTCTCAGAGATAACATGGTTAACAGTGCGCGGCCTTCACCCCGGGAACAGTGTCACGCCCAACGAAGTTCTCAGGCTTCTTCACCAGCTCCCTCTGCTTACAACGCTCGAATTAGACCCCTTTGAGATATTCCACGATGGGTTGAGATTTCATTATCCACCGATCGAGAATCTGTTGCCAACAACCCTTCTTCCCAACCTTCGCAGCCTAACATGTGCACCGACATTTTTGAAATTTGTTGTCGACAACAATGCAGGACCCAAGCTTGAACGAGCACATGTTTTCCTATTGGATATTGAGTATGACTGGCGTGCGAGTATGGGGCACTTCCTGGGCAGTGCTCGCCTCATTTCAGAATCTGTGAGAGGCTTGCGTGCACGAGCAACATTTTCTCAGATTCGTCTTGAATTAACCATGTCGTATACAACCCTTTTATCAAGATTACAACCACAAGATCTGGGAGACCCTGCTTGGGCGGTTTTGAACGAGGAAACAGCAGAGCTTTACATCCGCGGCACTTCCCTCGGTAATGACACCCATGGTCAAGGATTTGACTCTAGCGATGCCAGAATCATTCTATCGAAGCTGGAAAATTGGTTGAAGGATTTTCGCAAGCTCCAGAAGCTCGTTTTTTGGGAGATCCCTGATCTGCTGAAGGACGACATGGATCCTATTATTGGCAAGTGGAATCTTCCTTCTATATGCCCCACCCTGGAGAAAGTACACGTAGGTGAAGCAGAGCGTCTATATGGAATATTACCGCCCATGTCAATTTGAATCAACGAGTTTGAAGCGAGTCTCAAGAGCCCGTTACTTAGTAGTAGTACTCAGCAGAAAGTTCAACTTGCATCGAATCTATCTATGTAATATGCTAAGTGCATTACATTGCCAAGTACAAAATACAGGAAAAAGAACAAGACTCTAAGATAGTGCATGCGGCAAAGAACAATCATCGAGCAGGAAAATGTGCTACCGTATGCCACCCCGCCTCAGGCTTGGCATAGAACTGGTCGAAAACGGGTCTTCATTTAAAATGAGCCCGTTACTTTTCGTGAGAGAAAAACTTGTTCCTTGTACCACAATAAATCCCATCTTCATCGAACTTGGGGTGATTTTCGCTCCTAATGCATTAGGGGCGTTCTTACGCTGAGTGACGAACCTTGCGTGGTCATCGTAAGCATTATAATACCTTTTAATGTCGCATAGGACAAGGTAGTCGTTTTTGGAGTCGGCCCTGAGATACCGGCGAGAATCAAAGTGTATCCTCGAGGATAAAACACGAGGTAGGTTCAACTCGGATCGAACGTTCGGTGAATCGGAGGTTCGATCAAGTGGCTCTCAACTCTAATAGATCGTCGAAGAGATCGTCGAAGAGATTGTCATCGTGGCGTTAACTCAGCACTGACACAGAAGAAGGGCTTTGAAGGCAACGTTATTAACGAAAGTCTTAAGATACAAGTCTAAACGAAAATCACCGTCCGTCCATGATCAAGTCCTCACCACCCATCGCTCTACCTTTAGAGCTCTCTTTATCCGCTCTCGACTCCAACATCATTTCCAAATCCAATGATCATTACTTCTGCCTCTCCCTCACGCACAGACTCAGGCTCTCTCCCAATTCCAACAGGCACAGGCGATGGTGCGGATGCAGACGCACTTCCTGACCTCGGCCCCGTCCCTCCCCCTTCTCTATGCCCCTTCTCCCTCCTAATACGCTTCTTCTCCATCATCGCTTCCATCTCCTCTGCCCTGGCACGCACCCACTCCTCCTCGTCCTCCTCATCCGTAACATCGCCCTCGTCTTCATCTCCGTCATTCCTTTGTCCTCGAGGCGCACAAATACCGTGGGAGGGTGGGGATGGGCGCTGCAAGTCGAGCGAACGAGTGCGGGTGACATCCGAGTTCAAGTGGCACAGGAAGGGCATCGTCGCCGCGCGTTCCCGGCCTTGGGTGAGAGGGGGTAGGTCGAAGGACGCGCTCCCTCTGTCTCCGTACCACACTCCGAAGACTCCGCGATGTCCCACTTTCCGCCCTACATCAGCACCCGCACCTGCACCGCCGGCTCCACGTCTAACAGGAACATGATCGACACAAGCCCCAAGACCAGGCGCCGGACTCATAAGGGGATGCGTACCCATACTCGCGCTCCTCTTTTTCAGTTTATTCCCTTTTGACCTTGACAGGGATTCCACTGGCTTGTTATTGTTCTTGGCATTGAAACTGCCAGAATTGACAGCGGTGCTCGATGGCTGGTGAGCTGGGAGTCTACTTTTGTAGGGGCGCGTTGGGCTCGCGGATACTGCGCTGCCGAGGGGCAGCGACGGGGATGGGGCGACAAGGTTCCGCTTCGTCCAGAGGGTTGCCATGTACTGACCGAAACTCATGCTTGTACTAGAGCTTTTAGCATGCGCTAAAGCGCGACTCCCAGTTATAGGCTGAACAGGCGAATTCTCAAGTCGCTGCTTCTGTTGTTGTGAAGGTTTTGAAGGCGACGAGAGTGGACTTGAGTGTGGAGATGGGAATGGGAGGGCGGAAGAGGAGGACAAAGAAGATGGAGGGGGAGTTGCTTGAGAGGCGGGAGGATTTGCAGTCGCTGTACCCATCGGTACGGGTACGTCAATCCCTGCCGCAGCGAGTACATCGCTTATCGGCGCATGCCCTCGGGGGGATTGCATTCGATGAGCATAGGTACATGTAAGCCTGTGTGGCAGTAACTCGTTAGCACGAATAGCCCTAGCCATTTTAGATGATATAGATGCATGCTTACCCAGGACCAAGTACAAACTCGCCCCCAAGCTGATGAATGTTGCCGCCCGGCTCCCAGATAGGTAGGCCTGCTTTGAGCCCACGAAGGACAACGAGGGCAACGCCTGAGACAGAGCCATGGCGGATGTACGACTTTTTCGCATCCGGCGAAATCGCGTTTTCAGCGGAATGAGACGGTAATTTGGTTTGAGGTGTGGATTTGGTAGAGGGCGGCGTTGACGAAGGTGGCGAGCTAGATCGTTTCATTCCTAGGGCAGCGTACACCGCGAGCGTGGGATCCGTGTACATCTCAATCGAGGAATGGCGATTGAGACCAAAGAGAGCAAGATACTTGGTAATATACGATGGAGAACCGTTACCGATCAGGATGATGCGAGGAGAAGGGGCTGCGGTATTGCTAGGAAGAGTAGAGGCAATAGAGGCGGAGTAGTCCTGACAAAGGGGACACCAGAAATGTCGGAGGAATATGATGACAGTTGGGTGAGTTTCGAATAGGGATGCAAAGGGAACGCGCAAGCCAGAGGGAGCGACTACTGGCAGAGAGGCGGCATATGCAAGTTGAGATGGAGTAGGAAATAACCATTCTGTTGGGGCGGGTTGCAAGAGTGAGTGTGCATCGTCAGCTCCAGCTATGCAGCAGTTGGTCGTAGGCATAGATACATGTACAAGAGACGAAGACGCAGATGGGGACGCCTGCATGCGATTGGTGCGTTTGAAGAGGCCACTAGACCACTTGCTTGGGCTCTCATCGGTGACGGCACTACTATGGATCGACTCCGTACGCAGCGGGCTCTCCTGCGGGGCATCTGCACGAAGATTAGAAGCATGTCTGAGGCTGCCACAAGAGCCGCGAGTGCGAAGGGCCCAAAGGGGAGCAAAGGGATCGCTGGGATCGGGGGATGGGTAACGCAAGTCAGCTGCAAGAGCAGCATCTACAAGCGGCGGAGGCTTGCGCTTGATCCTAGTGCGCGGTGACTCCATAGAATAGCAAGATGTCCATCATAATCAAGCAACCTTTTTGTACGTCCTACGCAGAGCGGCTGACTGCCACACGTGTCGATGTTTCTCCCGCGCAGGCGCTTCCATTCTAGTCCTCCGTGCATCCGTCTCAAACGAGTTCTAGTTTTAGACTCGGTTACTGTAGCTAGGGCTCCTTTCCGGGAGATTTCCAGGGTAATACCGATCCAACAGAAACGCCATCGACGGTGAAAGCAAGATTAGATCTTGCGCGATCAAAAGTCACGCTCCAGCTATCCGGAGAATCTTTTGCAAGCACGCTCCAGCTGCATGGTATCGGTGCTATTACGCATAATCTATCGATGCCAATGACCACTCGTTGAACGTGGAGTATCAGTAAAGGTTCATTTGTGGAATTGATATCTATATGACATGCAATTAATGATGCTTATACATGTCCCTCTTAGCTCAGTGGTAGAGCGCGTCACTAGTACTTTACGAAATGACGAGGTCAGTCGTTCAAGTCGGCTAGAGGGAAATATGGTTGTTAAGATGGCACTTTTCAACATCTTCGGCTCTGAGCATTATTTTGACTTTTGCTCTCCTTCAGCGCTGAGCTTGCATACCATCTTATGTGTATTGTATTTTACTTGATAATGTGATTCTATCATAGATTTGTAATACCCAATTCATTCCTCATTCCCACTTTGATGTTTGATACCTTGCCAAAGACGCTATGCTCGCGTACATGCGAAAATGCTCTCGTAGTATCAGGAAGCGAATACGCCGGCGTTAGCTGCGACCTTCAAAACCGGGCATTGTAGCGTCAGGGTCGTTCTAAATTCCTTCATGCCCGACCTTTGCCCTCGATTACGTGCAGCTGGTTTTTGTAATGAGGCAAGCTGCAAATACCCCCACACGCTACTCACCTGTGAACCTTGCGCATTCATATGCGCGTCGCAAGGCGACATGGTGTACCACACCAGAAGTCGGCCTCATCTGGACAAGGTGAACAGCTTATCCCGCTTCCTTAGGTGCCCGCTATGCCCAGGACACATCATCCGTGGTCGAAATGTCTGGGACATCCATTGTCGGTCCATGGAACACGTCAATAAGGCCAGAGTCGCTGGAGTTAGTCCAGCAGCAGTCGAACCAGAGGGCCAAGCCAATGTTTCTGGCCACACTATGTGCGTTACTTGCAATATCCGTATCAACAACGAAGTGTGGGACCGCCACTTGCAAAACGAGGAGCATTTGGAGAATGAAAAGTTTGACACGTTCAAGGTTGTGTCGGAGGGCGCGCAGACAAACGGGAATGGGGTTGTTGTGAATGGGGAGTTCGATTTCGGCATTGTCAACCTTACAGCTGCGGCAACTGGCGTCAAGGCGAGCGGGAAGGTTTTTACGAATACTCCTACTCCACGCATCACGTTGGTGGACATTAGACTGGCGTCATCAAAGGTGCTGAACATTTCTCGTTCTTCGTGAGTCACTCTTTATTGGTTTCTTCGCGCCTTTTGATTATTCTACAGATTTCGAGTGTCTATCTCTGGTTCACGTCGAACTTTGAGCAATTCGCCCATCGCTTTCGACATTTTTCTCCAACAAAAGTACGCTGGACGATGCCAAGACCGTATCGAACTTGTGTTTGAAGACGTGCAACTCAAAATGCAATTCATCATTGTGCGTCAAGTGGAAGGGATAGTGGGTGACAAGGAAGGTCATCATATTTTCAGCCCTGTAGCTCCGTACGTTCCCCGGCAGAGAACAACGCGTCAACCTGAACTCGAGGTTGTGGAAGGGGTGGCCCCACCCGCGATGAAGGCTGTCCCATATGTTGTTCCTTTACCACAAGCGTTTATTCCTACTGCGCTGGCCGACACGTTGTCTACAGGTTCTGACAAAGCGAGAATGTCGAGAATCCGGAGCGTCTTTCTTCCTCAAAAGTTTGACGTCGCAGGCTACGATCGTCACTTCAAGCATCTGCTTTGGATTGAGGAGTATCAAATGGAGTGTGTAGTTTTAATTTCTTTCACCATGCGCCCTGTTTAACGGACGATTTCGTTTAGGAAGGACTTGGAGTTTTACGACATGAATGATGTCAAAATGAGCCATTATTCTCCTTTCTATCAGTGGGTCGTTTATATTCATTGAGACACTCTTTTCTCACCCGCTCTAGGCTCGAAGTCCCAGGGCTCGCAGAAAAACGACCCAGTGTTCTCGTTGGTGAGTAGCCTTCCTTATAGCATCTCTTCGTAGATTCTTATACATTTATTCCCAGGCGACCGAATACTTGTACAACCCAAGGGGGCTCGAGTCGGACGTTGGTTTGAGGGCGGCGTTCATCACGTTCGCAAGGAGGAAGTGTCTTTACGTTTTGACAGGTCTTTCCGAGGCTGGGCACCCGATCAGCTCTTCTACGTCCGGTTCAAGCTCAATCGCTATCCTGCCCGCCGTCAGCACCAGGCCCTTGACAGCGCCTTCTCTGAGGAGCGTGTAATGTTCCCCGGCCAAAAATTCTTGCCGAAAGGCACATATCCAAAGCCCGCCGATGTGCGATTGCAACTGGCCAACCCTCTTATTGAGAAGAACCTGCCACAACTTCAAGCGGTCGTTTCGATTGTCAAGCAACCCCCTGGATCGCTGCCTTTTGTGATCTTTGGACCGTAAGTTTTCCATTGGCGCTCTTTGAATTCTTTTGTCCTCAATGCGATATGCTGCAGACCTGGCACTGGTAAAACCATGACCATGATAGAAGCCATCAAACAAGTCCTCAAAGCCGATCCTGGAGCTCGCGTCCTCGCATGTGCACCCAGCAATTCCGCTGCAGACATCATCGCTATGCGTCTCCGTGATTCATTGAGTTACAACGAGCTTTTCCGTTTTTATGCGTCGTCGCGTGGGAAAGAGCAGGTTCCCATTGAACTCCTGGACTACACCCATACACGGTCGGATGGGCACTTCTCCGTCCCACTGATGGCAAGGATGAAGCGATTTAGAGTAGTCGTCGCGACGTGTGTATCGGCCTCGTTCGTTTCGGGTATTGGAGTTCCCCGTGGTCACTACTCCCATATATTTGTGGATGAAGCAGGCCAAGCGACAGAACCGGAGGTCATCATTGCTATTAAAACAATGGCTGGCCCCACGACGAACATTGTGCTCTCTGGAGATCCGAAGCAGCTTGGCCCAGTTTTGCGCTCCAGGATCGCTTGTCAGCTTGGGTTGGAGGTCAGTTACATTGAGAGGTTGATGCAGAGGGATGTGTATAACTTGGCCGAGGGCTACGGTATCTCGTAAGTCGAACGAGGTTATCTTTCTACACCCATGTTTCTAACCATCTTGCCAACTTGAAGCGTCGTCAAGCTTGTCAATAATTTCCGATCACATGGCTCCATCCTTAAATTCCCTAATGAGCGTTTCTATGATGGAGAACTAGTGCCAGCTGGTGGTGGTACCAAGATCAACAGTTACCTAGGCTGGTCGCATTTGCCTAACCCCAAATTCCCTATTGTTTTCCATGGAATCAACGGCAGAGATGATCGTGAAGCTTTTTCACCTTCATTCTTCAACATCGATGAACTTCTGCAGGTGAAGGCCTATGTGCAAAATCTTCGTTCGGATCGCCAGTTTCGTACAAGTGCGTTTGTTTAGCCTTCTTGCCTGACGTACTATGCTGATTTGGTGATATAGCTGACAATGATATTGGTGTTATATCTCCATACAATGCACAGTGTCGAAAGATCAGGACAGCTCTGAGAGGGGTGGCAGATAGTGTTAAGGTTGGGAGTGTTGAAGAGTTCCAGGGTCAGGTAAGCTTCATCCCAGTTTTCAATGTCAGTTTTGGGCTTATATCGTTCCTTAGGAACGCCGTGTCATTATCATTTCTACTGTGCGAAGTAGCACTGAGTACATTGAATTTGATCTCAAGCATACCCTTGGATTTGTTGCTAGCCCCCGTCGTTTCAATGGTCTGTTTGCCTGCTAACTCTCTGCGTCACTCATAATCTTACTGGGGTCCCTATCTCAGTTTCTGTTACACGTGCCCAAGCCCTGCTTATCATCATCGGAGACCCCACTGTTCTGTCTCTCGATCCTCTGTGGCGATCGTTCCTCAACTATATTCATGACAATAATGGGTGGACAGGCTCACCAATTACATGGGATCCTTCAGCTCCTGTTGACGAAACAGGTGGTTACGATAAGTTGATTCGCCAGGCAGCACAGATCGACATGAATGACTTTACCCGGCAAATGGAGGCACTGACGATGGCGGGCGTTGATGCACTTGGAGATGATGAGGGGAATATTGATTGTCCATGGCGGGATGTCGAATAGGCGCTGGGCTTGATCTAGATCTGGGCGTTTATCTCAAATGTCGTTATTTTGGGTTTGATGGATCGATCGATGCTTGTGTGGCAACCACAATGACTTCAACTTCCAAGCGCCCATGCAATGTATATCACAGCATTTCTGATACAGTCATCGCCTCGTTGTGGAACACAATCAGTTCCTGTGTTTGTTGAAGAATACTTCCACTGAGTCAGAGCAAACTTCCCCAGAAGAGGTACGTGCTCAACTTTTATGACACATTCATACACGCCCTAGGGTTAATTATGGACACCAGCTTCCTTCTAACCATGATCCTGACTCATATTGAGTGTGAACATGCACTGCAAGCCGTAAACCGGATAGATTGCGACGCGTTCTGTACTACGGTGGGGATTGCGTGCTACCTCACATATTCTCTCCTGCAGCGCCAGAGGTCTACTGCTTCGATCATCTCGTGGAGGTCAAGCTTCGAGAAACCATATAGCATATCTCGTCCTTCGAAGGGTCGAAACATACTGCCATCATCTCTGCTCCAGCTTACCTCCTACCCCATCGATCTCCAATGCTTCATGCGCTACCTAAATGAGCCCGAGAACGATGCTAAGGCATTGCAATATGGACTTCTGCGGGACTATTGGGCTGCAGAGGCGACATTCAACCGTCGATTTCATCTTTCCCTTCGGACATCCATGCACATCGTTCAAGAGGACAACGATTCCTTAGATATACAGAATGCTTGGAGACCATGCGAGGATATGTGGGTCATTACCTTGGGTCAAGGTGGTAATCGTGACGTTGGGTTTCCTTTCTCTAAACTTGGAATGCATCCTACTAGTTTGGATTGGAAGAGTGGAACCATTGTTGTCTGGTTAAGATGGGACACATCCCCTCACGTCTCTCTTGTGGGGACTGTTGCCGCGCCTTCTTCTCTGTCTTGGTTTTGCTTTCTCGATTCGAAGGACTGCCATCTTCCAGTGCTCTACGGTCGATCAAAACAATTCCCAACCACACATTCAGCATCGACAATCATCTACGAATTTGGAGTACGGAACAGGGCCAATGCATATTCTTTTCTGCTGCTAGAAAGCGCCTCTTCCAACCAAGTCCCTTGGACAACAGATATGAGATCCATATTACCCCTTCACATCATAAAGTTCTTTGCCCAAACACCTCGACTGGGCTCTCTTCATACAGTCCCCGATAAATGGC